AGATGCCTTGCCCTCCGGAGCAGGGCGCACCTGCAAATGGATGGTTGTCTGTCAGCCGTGGCCCGTGGTGCCCTTGCGCCACAAGGGTCTCGCGCTACCCACATTGTCCGTGTCAATGATGACGGCGCTTAAAAGCAAGTCTGCCACTTCTCGAGGGACCTCGCCAGCGCTTAGATGATCATGAAAGAGACCAGCGACGATGCTCGCGCAGCTACCTGTCGGCACGTTGATACCGGGAGCGCCAGGGCCTTGCAGTATCCTCAGCATGGCGTCGGTATGCGCTCCTTCGTCTACATGGTGATCTACCACTGCTACCACATCTCTGTCTGCTTCTGACCCAGTGCTAGATCTCCATTCCGCTCCGAGCGCCGCATGATCCACCAAACCGATGTGCACACGATTGCTGGGACCAAAGACACTAGAAGAATGGTCCAGAGACCTTCCTGCAGCGTCCTTCAAGTCGGTCACGTGCAGCGGTGAGGTATCTTGGAGACCGGCAGCAAGAAGTGCGATCTTATTCTCCGGTCTCAAAAGCAAGTCTTCCGGTGCAGTCTGCACCAGAGGCGCAATAATGAGTGATGCTGGCAGTCCTAGCCGAGACCTGACTTCCGGGAAATGGGTGAGCAGGTACGCGAGACCGATCGCGGATGCGGCGGAGTCGAGATCTGCACTGACAAAACTTTGGGCGTCAGACGCCGCACGTGCGCGCATGTACACCTACCTGCCTGCCTTTCACTCACCGCCAGCGCTGTTGCCCATGACGAGAAGCAGGTGCCCATCTGCTTGGCCCTTGCCCGCAAGATGCGTCAAAGCGTCCGCTTTAGCCTTGGCCAGGTAGTCTGCCAAAGATTGGATCGTCATGTTCGGAACGGCTTCAGTGCTATCGTTTACCAATAAAGAAGCTTCAGGGTCCGTCGCTGCGTTTCGATCAGAGTCGGGCACTGCCAAGGAGTAGAGCCCGGCGAGGAGCAAGATGACAGCAACGATCAAGAGTCGACAGCGAAGGGAAGGGCCCTTGAAGATGGGCGAGACCAGTCCCAGCAGTCGAGAGCACCGAATCGAGCGAGGTGCCGATCTCCTGTGCTGGTGCTGATTCAAGGAGGCTGGTAGACGAGATGAAGGCGGATAGACGTGCGCGTACCCTCCACCGTGCTCCAATCGATCTGCGTCTTCCTCCTCTTCTTCCTGCTGCCTGGTCAAGTGGTACTCCCCGCGAGACAGGTTCATGCAGCTTGGGCTACTTCT